TATGGTCACAGTTAGGGCTGGTAGGGGTTATGGATATCATATGGTCACGGTTAGGGCTGGTAGGGGTTATGGATATCATATGGTCACGGTTAGGGTTGGTAGGGGTTATGGATATCATATGGTTACGGTTAGGGCTGGTAGGGGTTATGGATATCATATGGTTACGGTTAGGGCTGGTAGGGGTTATGGATATCATATGGTCACGGTTAGGGCTGGTAGGGGTTATGGATATCATTGCTGGGATTAGGGTTTACCTGCGTACACACCTGGTCCTGCAGCTCGGCCAGTCGCTGCGCTCTCTCCTCCTCGCTGTCCGAACTGGGACTGCTCTCACTCTCGCTGCTGAGCTCGCTCTCCGAAGAGGAAGATGACGAGGAGGATGACGAAGACGAGGAAGAAGAGGAGGAAGAGGACGACGAGTGCTCTCCCAACAGACCAACTCCTCCCCCCATGGACAGAGGGGGGGCCTCCTCCACCGGCTCATCCGGCATCTTGGCGAAGCGGAACTCAAACACGTCCTGAAGTGGGAACAGACGTGTGTTGTGTATGACACCAGAAGTGGTGAGTGTATAAGGCTACGGAGAGACAGGGAGTCACAGGGTTGTGGGTCGGAAACCTAAAAATGGAGAACAAGCAGCAGCAAATCTAAAGTATTCCATAATCTACCCATATATCTCTCATAGTCCTGCACAAGGCATGGTGAGTCTGGATCCCATCCCAGTAAGGCTCGGGACAGCCTGGGGGGGGTTTCCAGTCAGACACACAAACACGTTTGGATTCATATCTTTGTGGGGACTCTCCATTCATTTCTATGGGATAAACCCTAGTCCCATGACAATGACAACGTTAACCCCTACCCATCTGATTGGAGTCACAGATTATTATAAAATTAGTTTTTATTTTGACAACATCTAACCATACGTCATTGCGGGGCTTTAGATAATAGGTGCCAGGTTTTCAGCACTATATAGATGTTTACTTACGCCCCCAATTTGATAAGCAGATTAGTAGTACGCAGAATATTATTATGTAGAGGCGTGTTATGATGCCCAGAAGTTAGTTTATAAATTCGGCGTATCCTTATGTTCATTAAATTCAGTTAGTGGAGCAACAACCACATGCTATTGTTGTGGTAAATCATGGAAGCAATAAGCACTGAAGTGGTGGTGAAGAAAGGGACAGTCAACAGCCACAGCATCTTTTAAAAGAGGGGATATTGTGGCTAAATGACATTGGTGTTATGGCGGTACTTTTTACAAAGCCAAACACTTTTTTGTAAATATAACTTTCATTTTTATTTCAGTTTACGAATTTAATTAGCTTCCGTTTTCATTTACAATGATAATACTGGTCCCAACAAGTCCAGCAAACACAAACACACAAACACCGACACTGTCAATCAAAGTAGAATAAGCCCAGATTCTAACCTAAACACTTATTCAATGGGAATTCTAAGGTAGCAGGCAGATGACTTTATGGCTTTAATAATGAGTGTATTTCGCAGCTACAAGAACAAAACATATTAAAAAGCTCTCCATTCTAATGGTAATTTAATAAACGCGACTAGACAACACTTATGGTGGTTTTGTCTATTCTGGTGGTCCCATCATCCAGAACCGATCACATGATGCAGACAGCCACAGCCCACAACCATGGGAGACTTATCTAAACACCAACCAGATTACCATCCACAGCACCACACCATGAATCCCTCGGCTCTGGCGCGCTGGGAGTGCCTACCTGCAGCTTGCGGGCCATGGACACCACGTCGTGGTCGGGGGGGTTGTACTTGTAGCAGTTGGAGTACATGAGCCTGACGTCAGCCGCGAACTGCTGGGCGTCCCGGTACTCCCGGCAGTCCATCTTCCTCTGGGGGAGGGAGAGAGAACACCATCAGCAAGGGAACGGCCCGGGGACAGCACGCCCCCTCCTCCGAGGCGGACCGCAGGGGGCAGAGGCCCCGCCCACCTTGATGGTGCTGAGGTCCATGGGGTGCTTGATGATGTCGTGGTAGTCGTGCAGGCCCAGGGCCGAGGCATCCACGGGCTTGTAGAAGGGCCAGGCGTAGGCGGCGTGCTTCTTGGACAGCAGCTCCTTCAACACGCCGCTGCAGTAACGCAGCTGCTGGCTCAGCTTCCCGCGCCGAGACGGCTGGTGCTGCAGCGAGTCGGGCAGGTCCTTCCGCGGCGGCTTGATGGGCCGCCCCCCCTCCCGTCGTCGCGCCGTGGTCTTGCCCGACACCCCCGCTGGCTGCAGGTGGACTGGGCCGCTCTTGGGATCTGCTCCCACGGCAGCCAGGCCCATGCCCTTGCCCAGGCCGCCCACTCGAACCCCCGGGGTGAGGGCTATGGTGGTGGGGGTGGTGGTATCAGCTTTACGCTTCACTCCCTTCTTCTGTGGGGGGGGGTTAGAGAAGCCGTTCACTAAAACCATGCTTCTTATGGTAAAACCATTAACACGTTAACGCGAGGGACACAGACTCCAGTGAAAAAGCAAACATCTGTTACCAGTAACTACAGGTAAACTTAAAGACTTATTTAAAGTTTAGATTTACTTATGAGTCTTTTTTTGTCACAGAGCTAAAAACAAATTAATACCCATGACCAGGGCCAGATCTACCTTTTCAGGAGCCCCAGGGAAGCCTGTAGCCAGAAATAGAGTCGTGGGCCCCCCTCGGTAGATTTTGCAAACCGGGGGGGGGGGTTTCACCAACCAGGCTACTTTCTCTGGGTCCCCTTGTGTTGGTTGGGCCCTAAGCAGCTGCCTAGTTTACCGGCGCCCAGATCCAGCACTGCCATGAGGGATTAGTACAGAGTCACATCAGACCCTCAGCTTACCTTGGCAGTGGGCTGCGTCGGAGGGTGTCCAAGCAAAGCAGGGGGGCTGAGGGGAGTGGGGGGCAGACTCTTGGCCAGCAGGGTCTGCGGGGGGGTGGACAGGAGCGAATCGGGGGTGTCGGGGGTAGGGGGTGAGTACTGGGTCAGAGAGGACACTGCTGGCACCTGATGGACTGTGGTCACGCCCCCCAGGACTGAAAGAGAGAGAAAGGGACCCAGTGAGACACCCAGAGTCCGAGAGGGAACTTAAAACTGCCCTCCTGTCTTAAAAGAGCGATAAAAATATAAAAATTGGTATCAAGTAACAGAAAACATCATTTATCCATCCCATTGTGGTTACTTTGTTTCATTTTTACTAAACATGGTTGGGTAACACTTTGGTTGGGTAACACTTTACTTGGATAATCTGCCTACAGAGGGCATACAGAGAATTTGCAACTTTTCAACAGCTTATTAGTTGAGATTCTACAATTAACATAACCCCATCTCGAGTGAGTTGTCAAATTCAGTTAAATTATTATAAGAATATGTATGTTCATGAATAGTTACATATACTCCATATACTGCATATTCTGCTAAACATCTACAGACAAAGTGAAACAGCTGAATTGTTGAATCTTCAAGTTGTTGAAATGCTACAAATACTCTGTAGGCGGACCATCCAAATAAAGTGTTACCCGTAGTTGTTTATGAAGTATACAGCAGTTTGTTCCAGGAAGCACAGGGCACAGGGCACAAAGCGAGGTATACTTTGGACAGGAAGCCAGCCCATCGCTCGGCACATAGACACACATAACACACTATGGGCAATTTATGGCGCTTTTCTACTGCCACCAAGAACCAAGACATACTAGAGCCATACAGCAAAGAGACAGATTTCTATTGTAAGTTATGTTTACTATCAGGGCAAAATGACTAAACTGAGCTGGCTGCGTCACCATCTGATTGGTCAAAATGCAGAGAGATACCGATGATCTGTGATGATATGCATAGATTATCTGAAGGAAATAAGGGCATATTCTACATATTACTCATTATTAGCAGTATTGCACATCGCGATGTATTGATGCATTCCTGATAACTCAGAACCTGAAAATTTCCAACCTCCTACATGAAAAAGTACTATAGAATATCTGAATGGAACAGATTTGTAATGTAAATTTACGCAAGCTAATGCTAATTCCGCTAGCGTTTGATGTTAACACAACACAGCAATTATCACAGATGAAGTAGCACAAAATAGCACATAGTAAAACATGATGTACACCATGTGAAAAGTAAGTAAGTGTCTCTTCGGTTTTACGTCACTGTCGCTCTCCAAACCATTTTGCAGTGGGAAATCGAAGCGAGATAGAACTGCCCTATAACTAGGGTCTCTTTGTGGTATGGGTCTGGTGTGGCCTGGTTCCTGAACGCCAGTGAAAAAGCACCATTAGAGACTCAGTTCACCTTCCTGCATATGGCTGGACTGTGGCAGGAAACTGAAGTACCCTGAAGAAACCCATGCAGTACCGGGAGAACATTAAAGCTCCGTGCAGAATCAGGGGAGGAAATCAAACCCCTAATGCTGGAGGTACTGGGCCAAGGTGCCAGCCACTGAACCAGCACAACCGTACAAAAAAAGCTGTGGATTACACACACAACATACATCAAGTACCACTTGCCACTGGTAAGTACAGACAGACACACAGTTTCCACACAAACTCAGGGACAAAGCTGGCTTGTCTGCCAGACTCACCGGACGCCTTGCGACCTTTACCCGCCTTCCCAGGCTTGCCTGGTCTACTCCGCGGCGTCGGTGAGGGCAGTTCTATCTCCTCCTGGGGCATCTGGGCCACTTTCTGCAGGAACACCTTTTCCAGGGACTGTGCCATTAGCACTATGTCATCCGTGGGCTGTGAAAAAGAGAGGGAAGAGTGTGTTCGGGCAATCTGACGATAATACCCAAAATCGACAATAACAGACAAGCGCCTTACTCAGATTAGTAGGCTTAAGATATCATATCAAAATATAACATACTTCACATGTAGATTGTAGTTGTGCGTAATGGACACAGAACTGTTCATACTTCTGCGGTCAAGCCCGTACAATGCACACATGCTCTAAAAGAATTTAAAATACATTATGAACATTTTGTACTACTAAATGAAAATGAGGATGAATTTTAATTAATGTAATACAGGACACCCGCGGATACCAAAATCCGTAGATGCTCCCTTATATAAAATGGTGTAGTATTTGCATATAACCTACGCACATCCTCCTGCACACTTTTTAAATCATCGCAAGATTACTTATACAGGCATATGTTAGGGGTGTAACAATGCATTGATTTGTATCGATGTATCGATTCAACGGCAAACGATCCGATGCATCGATGTGACCACATAAATGTAATATTTTTTTTTCTCGCCGGTTCCAGTGTTGTTTCCATGATCCACTCCGACGTATACAGGTTCTACACCAGGGGTGCCCAATACATTGATCACGATCTACTGGTTGATCGCAAAGGTAGTGTGGGTAGATCATATGGCATAAAAAATGGAGGATGGATGACGCGTTCAACCGCACCAGCTGCTGCAAAACTCTAGCAAGCTACCGAGTCGCCTAGTCAGCCTCCAATTTATTTCTACTAAACTTACGAAAGGGTATAAGAATGAATGGGGGAGCTGGACCAAGTAAGAAGCCAAAAACCTGCCACTTCCATACGGAATGGGAGGAGGACTTTTTTCACCATGTCATATTCGAAGTGCGTTTGCCTCATCTGTCAGTCTACCGTCGCTATTCCGAAGAAGGGAAATGTGAAGCGGCACTTTCGGACTGTTCATAAAAACTATGACATTAACTTCCCTCCGAAAAGCGAGCTGAGAAAGAGAAAGGTGAAGGAACTAAAATCCCAGTTCAATTCAAAAATGCTTTATTTATTCCAAAGGGAAATTAATAATAATAATCCCCATCCATTTTCCAAACTACTTATCCTTCTTGGTTGTGGGGGGTCTGGAGCCCATCCCGGAAGCTGTGGGCACGAGGTGGGGAACAACCCAGGAGGGGGGGCCAGCCCATCACAGAGCACACTCATACACCATCCACTCACACATGCCAACCTATGGGCAATTGAGTAATTCCAATTAGCCTCAGCATGTCATTGGACTGTGGGGGGAAACGGGAGTACCCAGATGGGGGGAGAACATGCAAACTCCACACACGTGACCCAGGTGGAGACTTGAACCCGGGTCCCAGGGGTATGAGGCAACGGTGCTAACCACTGCACCATCATGCTGAGCCTTAATAATACTAATAACAATAATAATAATATATTAAGGAATACTCAATATTTTTATACATAAATATATGTTTTGCATTTTTATAGTAGGCAGATCATTCTGACTTGGTCATTTATAAGTAGCTCGCAAGTTAGCGTACCTTCAGAGCGTGTTTAGTATGGCAGGTGACATAGGACACTACGCTCAGAGGACACAATCTCCTGAACACGTTGACACTTTTTTTTTTTCTTAAAAAAAAAAAACCTCTCAAAGAAGATTACTGACATACTTGTTTTACCGCAGAAGTCAGTCATGTTGATCTTCCTCATTCTACATGTCTGCCCATACAATGTTTTTTTTTATTTTTACCTTATTGCACTTTATTTTGCTTGTTTTATGGGACATACTTGACTACACTAGATTTTTTTTTACAGTTCCCAATAAAATGATAAAATGCTAATTATATTTGCCTTTTTTAATTCATTGAAATGTAAAAGACTGTGTGAAATGTCATCATTTTGACTACTAACCGCAGTATGAAACTGAATCGAATCGTATCGCGGTAATTTCTGAGGTATCAAAAAAAATCTAACCGTTGCCTTAAGGAATCGATATTGTATCGTATCGCGAGGAAAGCTGTGATTTACACCCCTAGTATATGTCTCTTAACGTCCGAGTTACATTCTGTCTAATAGGATGTTAGATTGCTTGGATGCTATGTGAACATGATATATAATGTATACAAACCAATACGGTGCACTGCACCTGTACTGTGTAAATAGCTAAGATACTTTATATAACAGAGAGAACACATTAAAATAATAATAATAATAATAAAAAAAATATAGCAAATTAAATACAAAAATGTGTAACATGTTTATTATCACTATCAAATAATACCGGCATTATAAGATAGGTATTAGAAGTGTAACGGACCACAAAACTCGGATCGTGTCATGGTTTTTGAGATATGGATTGGATTGTTTTTTCGGATCAGGAAAAAAAGGGGGGAACTACTACCTGCTTCTAACATTCACCGTTCACGTGAAAACACAACTGCTTTGCCTGTATCTTTCACTGCATCATGCAGAAGTCCATGGATGACATTTATCACTCTTTTTCTGTCTTATCATGCAATTAGACACAAACATGTCAAGAAAAAGAGGAAAGTAATTTCCACTAAAAATGTCCTGGCTAATGCTATCAAATCCATGCAGTTAATGTTTTACTTTACACTCCCACCGAAAATGTACAGGGCCGACTTTACTTATTTTGGGGAAATACTTCACTCATTAATCAAATATTTGAAAACAAAACCTGTATTTCGTATCTACCATGAAAATTGTGCCATTATTTTACATCCTTAAAATATATCACAAACCCCTCTGCTCAAAATCTTTAAAAATGTGTTGTTCGATGTTCAGTGGTTCAACAAAGTGTATTAAAAAAAACAATTTGCACATGTGCAGAAAGTTTCCAAAAGAGAGAGACGCGCAACGGCAGAGAACGCAGTCGGTGGCTGTGTGGACACAAAATCTGGGTGCTGCAAGCGTTCAACCGCAGAGAACTGCATTTATGTCAAATGCGTCATAAGCGTGAGCACATGTCCGCATGCGGAGAAGCATGAACAGGCCTTTAAACTTCAGGCAAAGCAAGGGAACAGAGAGATTTACGATGTGGCTTCCAGGTAAGCCTTCTACCCTACATTTCTGACGCAGGCAAGAAAACAAACACTGCTATTATTTCTTTAACTCCTCATAGACTTCTAACAGAATCTTTAATGCTTGTAGTAAATTTATTTTTACTTGCTCTAGATCAGTAATTGTCAAAGTATGGTATGTGGGATTCCCTTTAGGGGTGCACAGAGGCATCAGGCTATGTAACTGTCGGCCAAAATGGTGGTAGACAGGTAGGGCTTACTGTGGTGGGGGGGTATGTGTTTAAAGAGTCTGTAAAACACTGCTTTGGACGGCTTTAGATGGTCTGCAACAAGGTTTCAAATAATAACTAAATCTGGCCAGACAATAGATTATTTTCCAGTGTCTAAAAAACAATCATCAGTGACACTAATGCCAATCAGCAGCCCGCCCTCCCTGGTCAGCAGGTTTTAACACCAGCTCTTTAGCAATGGGTCCATACGTTTTTTTTGGTTTTATGATGCTTTCATGTTTTTCTTTTAGCTAAAAAAAAAGTTCAAGTGCCCCACCTTGGGGGAGGGGGTATGGACGAGCAGAGAGGATCATTTCTCCTGATATTTTTAAATTACACACCTTATTGTAGATGTAGCAGTTGGTGAACATGGTGTTGAAGTCCTGTATACATTCGCTGGCGCTGCGGTAGTAGTTGTTCTCCAGCCGCTTCCTGATGGTTCCCATGTCCATCGGCTGCTTGATGATTTTGTGATAATCCTGAAAGCAAGCAGGGAAACAGAAACTATTCCCATCCATTCCCGAAACTTATGGCATCACAGAGAACGACAGCCGGCTTTCCGCCATCCAGCCCCCAGCTTTCACAGGGAGTTTCAAACCCGCGTTTCTGGACACAAGGAACCGTCTGCTCCAGCAAGACAGTGTCACGGAACAAGGTTAGGGTGATTCGCAAACAATTCGATATTGACACCAGTAGTAATGAAGTCTGAAGCTGACACCTAAACGGTCCAAAAATATCCAATTGTACGACTAGGCTAAGCCAAGAAGAAATCTAACACAGCAGATAATCAAAGCAAACTTTACTAAATAATGTAGCTTGCTGGCTTGCTCTGAAATAGTCCTCTTTTTTTTTTTTGCCGACAACAGTACAGTTGAATCCCACCCTGGGTGGCCCCCGGACGGGTCCCTGTGCTTCCTGGGACAGGCTCCGGATTTACAGGGAGCGTGACATGGGATCGTGGAGGAAGGACTTCAGTCCAGAATTTCTAGATTGTGAACCCATCGTATTTCATTAAGGAAGCAACACTTGTAGCCTTTTAAAAAAAATGTCAGGGAAAGCGGTTCTCGGCGAGTCGTGACCGGATGCCGGCTTTCGCTCACCGGCAGGTTGAGTCGCATGGCGTCCACCGGCTCGTGAAAAGGCCAGGCAAAGTGATGCCTCCACAGGACCTTCACCATGGCCTTCTGCAGGAACTGGAGCTGGTTGGTCTGCCGCCCCGGACGGGCGGGGTCCTTCACAGGGGGGCGGGAAGGTGTCGGCATGGAGGGCGGGGCGTGGGGCAGCGTCGGGCTCTCGAAGCCCTCGAAGAGCAGCGACGGCTTGCGGATGCGCTTGCCGGGGCCACAGCCCACTTGCTCCATCCCGCTGATGCCCGGCAATCCCACAGCCCCCCCCAGAGGGCTGCTGCCATCTGACACCAGCCTGAGAGAGACAGGGGACAGACAGTCGGAACGGGGCAGGTATTTAGTGGGGGGAAATGATGTAAAATGTACAACTAAGGTTTCTAGCCATTATCCTGGTAAGACATAGGAAGAGAAAAATGTTATCCATATTAAAATATTAAAGAAACGAGTGTACAGACTTCAGACTTTTCGTGTTCACTGAACACAACCGCAGAGATAATATTCCCTAGGCCAGTATAACTTGCCTCACAGCTATAGGTTAATATTCTGTGTACATATAGGCATTAACTATCCTGGAATAAAAGGTGAGGGGGAAAGTGCACAGCAAATGGAGCTTCAGACTAGTCTGAAGTCTTAAACAGTCTGTAACACTAACAGGCCAGTAGAATGAGGCAGCAGGGGCACACAGTGGATATGAATATTCAGAAAACTGTCAATTTAAGTCTGCTGGAGGGTCCTGTTGCCGAGTCCTTGGGTAAAATACATAATACCGTAGATGGGTAAAAATGTAAGATACTCTGAACCAGTCTCAACTCAGGAAATAAAATGCAAGCTTGCATTTCTTACAATGTCTGAGTCAGAATAGAAATTGATGGAAAAAGACTGACGTAAATATAAAACTATCAACATGTATTTGGACAAAATGAGTACAAACCCAAACCATGCAGATCCGCACAGACATCACAGAATGGACAGTAAGAGTGCTGTGTAAAAGCAGTAGTTTATTGTGCTTCAGGTGATTTCTTACTGATGCTGCAATATCGAAACAGAACTGGAAGGGAAAAGTGTGGGAGAATCCATCTTTATCCCACAGATTTCAGCAAACACACAGCCCACTGACAGAGGAAGGCAAGGTCCGTCCCAAAGTTGGCCTCTGTTCTCATGTACAACAGAGCCAACAGTATCCTAACCTGGGGTCCATGGCCAGCTAAAGGACTGAGGCAATACATGGGCACTCACTGCCAATCAAGAGGAACTGCTGTCAGCACACAAGTCACTCTCCATTTACTGCACCGTGATGAACGTTTTAACGTGCTGTACTCCTCTGAGGTGCTGGGTGCACAACAGTACAACGTAAGCCCTATGGGTTCATACAAACCAAAACTGCTACCTGGTAGACTGTCCAAAACACAACTGACTTGAGAGTTAAAGGAAAATTTCACTTTTCAAATTGTTCTTTAGTCTTGCACTTGGTAATCACCAAGCATCCCAAGCACACCATATGCCAATACCCATGAACAATAAAACAAACCCTTTAACTCCCCCATTCAAAACATATGTACACAATTACAAACAAAAAGCAACTTAGCTGTTAAATGACCTACAAACAAGTAGAAAGCAGATATCTTTTGTTAATAAATGCAGAAGCTGAAATACAGATCTCAGGTAAGTAAAGTAACCTAGACAGAACTGCATGAAACTATATTACCCTGATGTTTATAAGTACTCCATTAAACAACTGTCTTGTTCATCAGCCAGCTACTGATAACTGGAGTGGACATCAGATATGCATCTGATATACAAACGTAAAGCTAGATTTCAGAAGCACCACCAAAAGATCTTTGCTTAATGCTAGGTTGGGATGCAGGTTTGTGTGCCTTACCTTAAAGTGTTTGTTGAGGTAATGGATTCTGATAAATATTGCTGCCAAATGGCACAGTATGATTAAATGTTTAGGCCAAAGCACTACAAAAGGCTTCAACGTTTAGGTTTAATTATGCACTACACTTTTTCAACTTGACACCCAAAATACAATCTCTTTCAATAAAAGCTTTCAGTAACAGAACACGCAGACATCTTTAATGACATTTTTATTGTTGTGTGTGAAAAGTAACATACAGGCTACAAAATGTATAAAAAAAAATCCATAAAATTAGAGGTAGCTGAAAGTTCACATAACTGTACATAACTTAATACATAACATTGACATACAGTGTGTCCAGTTTCTGCTGAATCCAGCCACTACTTTGAGGGACTAGAATTATACAGTTTAGTCAGTCATTTAAGTCTGATTGAAAAACTATTACATTCACTATAACACATCAAAACAAACACGCTTATATAACTCTACAACCTTCACAAGACCAGTGAAGTGCTTAACTGTCTAGGAGTTTTAAAACTACATGTATATTAAATTTAAGCATTAATGCATCACAAAGTCTTATCTTGGGGCCTGAACTGCAGGCTTCACAAGTAATGGTCACTGTACACAAGCAAATTAGCAACTGCCGACCCACAGATTACCTGGAAACCGAACAAACACCACATCTACACTAGGACGGCCCCCACGCAAAGGAGATTTTTACAGACCTTTCTCGCCCACTGAAAACCGAAAACCTTGTAATAAACACCAGAAATACTGCCTTACGTGACCGACCAGGACGCCTTGCCAGTAAATCGGCCTCGCTTAGCTGAGCCGCTGAGTCCGATCACACAAACAAACGTGATCACAAAGTACACCACGGGCAATAAGCCGCCGGTTACATGTCTCACACCCGCCGGCCGCCTCGTCTCCCCACAGTCAGCCCGCTATTTCAGTACGTTTTGTACAAAAGGTAAGCACTGAAAAAAATCTAACGTACGGTTTATTAGTGTAATTCTGGACCGCGACGAAAGCCTCCTCCTGATCGTACTTCCAAAACACCCTATTCGGATAGATTATGACGGTAGGCTGAATTTGGCTAATTCAGCAATAGCTCAGCCAATTCAGACTACGTTTACATTGAGATCTGACGTAGAAAGCGCTGCAAAGCATTGCGTCTACCATACATTTTATTAACATTTTACATCATTCATTACCGAAACCAAATAAACACCTGTCACCAAACCAGTCTGGCCCAACAGCTATATTGACCGGCACACGTAACTAACACAGGGAACTTGCCACACCAAGTTCTCCATTTCTGGTGAGCCTGTCAAATCGGAGGATCGGAACAGCATCTCCATCTTCGTTATACGCACACCGCGACCGCTACCCCGGCAAATAACCACTGTAGTTAGGAGGAAAATGGCGGCGACGCTGACGCTTGCGAACGGGTGCACAACCAATTCAAAACAGTCCTGCAAACGCAGCCTTCTGCAGTCAAATACTGAAAATCAAAGACGACACAGAACAGAAATTCAAGCTGCCATTGTAGCGAGAATGATTCTTCGTCCAAAATCAAGATGTATTTAGAAGTCAATAAAGCCTGTCAATTATTTCACCGTGCTTGAGACACTGTCAGCAAGTATCTAGTTACCAACCAAAATCCAAGGTGAAATTATACTCCATAGTCGGAAATATCCATGAAGAGCGAAAGATTACTTCGATAGGTCCGAATTATACCTGTCAAAGGACGGGTTTAAGGCCGTCTCCATCAGGATGGATCCGGATTCTGATTAAAATCCGATCTCTTACAGTTGCCTCTCTCTCCCTCTTTCCGACTTCTTCCTTCCTGGACTCCTCCTGAATATTAGCGAAATGGCGCCACTGCGTCACCGCCCAAAAGCTTATATACCTAACTATTTCACTATTGCATGGTTTCCTCCACGTGTCACAGATCCCAGAAATGCGATTGGCCAGACTCCTCGTCGATCAAGGATGCCACACCCAAACTTTGAGAAGCACCACCCACATCGACTCTTGGCAATGCAATTCGCCCCTCAGTTGTCCATCAAACAAAAGAGCCATTGTCAACTAAACCCGTCGACCTCACGAATAGCGCTCCACCGTCACGAGCGCCCCCCAGGGCTCCCGCCCCTGAAGCAGAGTTGCGTCATTGTGTTAAAAAAAAAATCGAGCGCGGGCAAACAGGCCAAGTAGAAAGCGAGCAAAAGGACGCCGAATTGTCCAAGCACACATTTTACTGTATAACGAGTTGTCTTTTAAGGCGAGTCGCCATATTTGATTCTAACAATGCGCGTATACTAGCGAATATAACTTTCAAAAATCGATGCTGTATTCCCCAAGCACAATTCTCTAGCCTGCGCTGTATTAAACAAAATAGAAAAATACTATCAAATCAGAAGCTTAGGTGGTTAGTAGATGTATTTACCCCCTAGATACAACGTAAAATGCGCTTACACAAAACAGCGTTCTCAGATCATTTCAGTAGCTACACTGCATTAACCAGCTCCAGTAACTTGAGTAAGCAACAGCAGCAATCAACCCGACATCCACAAAACACAACCTAAAGCATGATCCTTTATCTTAAAAACACTTATACCAAACAACGAGATTAACAAAATGGTCGCGAACGTAAACGCGTTTCCAGTAAATACCAAACATTGAGACGGTTTGAGGCCTTGCGTCAATGTCTCGCCAATCTAAGCACCAAATACCACAGGTAGCCTTTAAAATCTATGAAATACACAATTATGGCAACTAAATTTACAATTAAACTAGCTGCGACGCGCAGCCCATCCCCCACTACAGACGACTGTCGTCTATCAATGCATACCAGAAACTTGATAACTCTTCCAAACGCCTTCAAATATTCATAGTAATTTCGTTTTTAAAGTAATTAAAAGATTTTAAAACTTAAGTATTTAAATACGAGAAACTGTTCCGTGTTCTACATTTGCTAACTTAAATATTTACTGACTCCAAACCTGGAAATCAGTTTGCAAAAAAAAATTACTCTTAATTGTCCTTTTTCGAAATCCACACTTTTGGTTTCTCGAGATCTTCAATCACTTTTCCCCAAAGCATTTCCCTCAAACATGTCCGCCAGGTCCTTCCTTCTGCGAGTCAAGGGGGGAGGAGGGGTGGTGGGAGGTGGTGTCACGTGACAGGAGCGCGGGTAAACCTGAGGGTGATCCTTAGATAATATCCGGAGCCTTTTCCCACAGTTTATATTCAGCTGACCCCAAATTACATTCGAAATTCATTAGTTAGTCTATTTAAATTATAACAGCCAAATGCTGATGTTACAAACCCCCGGGTTATTGCCAGCACTGTAATTTGATGACATATTATCACATGACGTTTGCAAGAACAAACCACATACTTCGTCTCGTGTGATGGCGATAGGGAATAGCTGATCATATATGTTTTTATTCTGGATGTGTTAATTTACAGTGAACTTACACAGGTACATTTCGAGATAGTTGTGATCTCTGAGTATAGCGTATTACCTGATCGTATTTCCTAGTGCTACGGACATGTATTGGCACTTGACAGATTTTTTTATTTTTTGTCTTGAACTTAGATTAACAAAATAGTTCTTATAGTTACAGGGAACATATTGAAACAAGTTTGTTTAAGACCCTTCTGATACCAACAAACATAACTGTCTGATCTAGCAATTAAGTTAGAGGCGATCTTTCTTTAAATGTTGTGTCTGCTTAAAATAGCTCCTGTTTTGTTTTTTTTTAATATTAGACTTATTAATGAACAACGTAAAGAATTTAT